GTGGGACAAGCTCGCGTCTTTAGTACCCAAACCAAAGAAACCTCTGTTTCCGATTGATCGTCTTAACGAGCTTTTGAAAGTCTGTGCTAATTCAAGTTATCTAAGAACTGGAGAGTCGATTCACGGTCATTTGATTGTTACCAACCAATCATCTAGAGCTAAAGACGTGTATCAGATCAATTCTTTGATTAATCTCTATGTGAAATGCGGAGAAACTGTTCGTGCACGCAAGGTGTTCGATTTAATGCCTGAGAGAAATGTGGTTTCTTGGTGTGCGATGATGAAGGGTTATCAAAATTCTGGGTTTGATTTTGAAGTTTTGAAGCTTTTTAAAAGTATGGTTTTTTCTGATGAATCGAGACCTAATGAGTTTGTAGCTACTGTGGTTTTTAAGTCTTGTTCAAGCTCTGGGAGGATTGAAGAAGGTAAACAGTTTCATGGTTGTTTTCTTAAATCTGGTTTGATGTCTCATGAGTTTGTACGGAATACTCTTGTCTACATGTATTCTTTGTGTTCGGGTAATGGAGAAGCTATACGAGTTTTGGATGATCTTCCTTATTGTGATCTTTCTGTGTTTAGTTCAGCTCTTAGTGGTTATTTAGAGTGTGGTGCTTTTAAAGAAGGGGCTGAGGTTTTGAGAAGGATGGCTAAGGAAGATTTGGTTTTGGACAACATTACGTATTTGTCTTGTTTACGGCTTTGCTCCAATCTCAGAGATTTGAATTTGGCTAGGCAGATTCATAGCCGAATGGTGAGGTTAGGTTTCAACTCTGAAGTTGAGGCAAGTGGTGCAATCATTAATATGTATGGGAAATGTGGTAAAGTCCTATATGCGCAGAGAGTTTTCGACAATACACACGCTCAAAACATTGTCTTGAATACAACGATCATGGATGCTTACTTCCAGGATAAGTCTTTTGAGGAAGCTCTGAATCTGTTTTCAAAGATGGACACTAAAGAGGTTCCTCCGAATGAGTACACCTTTGCTATTTCGTTGAATTCAATTGCAGAGCTTTCCCTTCTAAAACATGGCGATCTTTTACATGGACTTGTTTTGAAATCTGGTTATAGGAACCATGTAATGGTGGGCAATGCATTGGTTAACATGTACGCTAAAAGTGGCAGCATTGAGGATGCAAGGAAAGCATTCTCAGGCATGACTTTTAGAGATATAGTTACTTGGAACACAATGATATGTGGATTCTCACATCATGGATTGGGGAGGGAAGGGCTTGAAGCCTTTGATAGAATGATGATTGCTGGAGAGATTCCCAATCGCATAACTTTTATCGGCGTTTTGCAGGCTTGTAGCCATGTTGGTTTTGTGGAGCAAGGGCTTTATTACTTTAATCAGCTAATGAAGAAATTTAATGTTCAGCCTGATCTACAGCATTATACATGCATTGTTGGACTTTTGAGCAAGGCTGGAATGTTCAAGGATGCTGAGGATTTCATGAGAACAGCTCCGATTGAATGGGACGTTGTTGCGTGGAGAGCTTTGCTAAATGCTTGTTATGTTCGCCGGAATTTCAGGTTGGGAAAGAAGGTAGCAGAATATGCCATTTATAAGTATCCAAACGATTCAGGAGTTTACGTGTTGTTATCCAATATCCATGCCAAGTCGAGGGAGTGGGAAGGCGTGGCAGAAGTGCGTTCTTTGATGAATAAAAGAGGTGTTAAGAAGGAGCCTGGAGTCAGCTGGATAGGGATACGTAATCAAACCCATGTGTTTCTTGCAGAGGAAAATCAACACCCCGAGATTACGCTGATTTATGCAAAGATTAAGGAAGTTTTGTCAAAGATTAGGCCATTAGGGTATTCTCCTGATGTTGCTGGAGTTTTCCATGATGTCGATGAAGAACAGAGAGAAGATAACCTCTCTTATCATAGTGAGAAGCTAGCTGTGGCATATGGTCTGATGAAAACGCCAGAGAACTCACCATTGTACGTGACTAAAAACGTGAGGATATGTGATGATTGTCACTCTGCAATTAAGCTTATCTCGAAGATCTCAAAACGATACATAGTTATCAGAGATTCCAATCGGTTCCATCATTTCCGAGATGGTCAGTGTTCTTGCTGTGATTACTGGTGAAATATAAACCGAAGGTTGACTTAGTGTGGCGTAGAGCTCTTGCGCCTCTATTTGCGGCCTCATGAGTTTCGGTTATCGTAAGTTGCAATTCATTTTTTGAGATCCTTAGTCATCAATTTCTAGGTGTAAATAGTGTCTAATAACACCTTTTGCAGATTATTCATGTCTGTGACAATTGTTTCCAATCTCATTGGTTTTTATGCTCTCACAGAGCTTTTGATACGGAAGTTTGGTAATTTTATACAAGGTACTGAGACAACAATATTAACAGACACAATCTAAGAGCAAAAAAAAGAAAGAAGTGCAGATATTGATAGATTGTTACTTGACGAAATACGATTTCAGCCGAAGTTGTTCTCCATGAATTTCACAAATCCATAGAAATCGATTCTTCCGTCTTTATTTCCATCGAATGATCTGATCATTCTCCTGCAATTCTCAAGGTTAGATCCTTGCTTTAAGCCAAGGATTGTCAAAACTCTCTGCAAATCTATTGGATCGATAAACCCATCTCTGTTTTCATCAAAGACATCAAAAGCTTGCTTCACTTCCTCCAAACTCGGCTCTTTCTCTTCAAACAGATTCGAAAGCTCCTCGGAACTGTACTGTTTTTGAAGTCCCTCACATTCTTTGTCGGTGGAAAGCCCTAAGCTCTTCATAACCATCCCTACATCTTCTCTACAAAGACCATCATCATCACGATATTCTTCGTGTTTGATCGAAGTTTGGAACTCAAGATCTTTGCTCTTCTTCTCTGAAACACATTGCTGGTGTTGAACAAGAGGCCAAAACCTGGAGAAAAATGACTGAGCAAAAGAAACCCATCTGAAAAAACCGATGAGGAAGAAGTTGATCAGACCAAACAAAGGGAAAGAAAAAGAAGAAGACTGTTTGCATTTAGACAATGAACTCTTCTCCATGGTTATAAAGCTATATAATTGGTTTTCAGTCATAACTTTTGTTAGATGTTTTATTTGGAAAAGTAAAGTAGGCAAATGAATGAATCACAAAGAAATGAATGTTTTGTTGGAGATATGAGTTTGGTTCATGGCTATGTATATATATAGATGATGAATAAGTCAATGTGGACACAGTTTTGGTGGAGAGGCAAAAGAGAGGAAGTTGCAGTTGGAAGAAGAGACCAAGAAGAAGGAAAGGGAAAGGAGAAACTTTTTTTTTTGGTAGGCAGGGAAAGGAGAAACTTACAAAAAGACTTTAGTATAAATAAATTAAGAGGAAATTTCTTCAACACCTTTTGATGGGAGTTGTTTTTTTTGTACTTATTTGAAGGGAAGCTTGGTCATATGACTATTTTTTTCTATTAATTTGTACTTAGAAGTAGGATATGACCCGCGGTATACCGCGGGATTAATTATTTGATTTTTTTTTTCTTTTTTATAAACCGATGAATTTGGTGTGTATAATATTTTTCGTTGTACACTGCGGATCGATTCTTTTGTAACAAAATTCTTTTAAAAGTTTAAGTTGTATTTGTTTTGTTTAGTGTTTAAGATTGTATAATTGTATTTTGATTGTTAATTTTAGGAATTCACTCGTAGTGTACCGTCCCGTATTAATATCAAAATATTCAGACGAACTTTCGTATAAATTTTGCCAAGACTAGACAGTAAGGCAGAGATCACACATAGACTAAGAAAAACATAAAAAGCAAATGAAATTTTCTTATAGTTAATTTCCACAATTAAGTAATCGGTTCCTCACCATAATCCGTGACTTGTTTGACCAAACGTTGGAAATCAATTAAATGATGACTAATTCAATACTCTTATTTGTTGTGGGCATGAAAAAGACTAACACGAATTAATGTCACAATTGCAACTAATTTCCTTAGTAAATTTCCTGGAAATTGCAAGTCAACAAACAAGGTAGTGGCTTTCTTTTTCTTTTGGCGTTTTTCATAAACTTCTTTTATATTAATTTACTAGTTATCTCTTAATATAATATCAAAATGTTCTTTCATTGGTTGTTTTGGTCAATATGAGATAAATCTTCATGAAGCTGACTTTGTCAATCCAATTAGTGTGGGTTCTTTATCAAAACTATATATTTTAATCCTAGATTTATATATACAACAAATATCGAACAGTAGTTGGCAGCTTGCAATATCTTCTCTTCATGCATCTACACATTGCTTATGTTGTAAGTAGACTACTCTCCCCATTATGCATCAACCAAATTTTGACCATTAACTTGCAGTGAAGAGGGTGTTTGCGTTATTTTCTCGGTATTCGTGATCGCGGCTTGCTTTTCCGGGACTTGGTTCATGTCTTTTTGGGGTGATAATTAAGCTGGTTATAAGGATGACTACACGTCTACTAGAGCAAACCTTATTTACAATGGTAAACACTTGATATCGTGGTCATCTAAGAAGTTAAAGACAGTGGCTCGCTCTATTAGAGCATTCATAACAAGTCCAAGATTATGAATCTATGACATTGGAAAAGCCCAACACAAGTCCATGTAATTAGGTTATCTAAGCAAGTAGTCTCTTATATATAGTCATATAATGAGAACTTTGATGGAAACTTTGAAAGTTGTCTCAAAACAACTGTCTTCATCTTTATAAAACCATCAATTTTGAATCATTGTGTTCATGGTGACAACAAAGTAAGCTTTCCTCTTTTAGTTTCTTTGCATAATAAAACTCTTCATGATCTATCTAAGTTCTTAGTTTATTTCTATCTTAATAAGCTCTTTAAGATCATAAATCTTTTTACTTTGAGATTGCTTACACGCTCCTCCGCGGAAGCCAGAAACAAGTTTGTTTGCTGCCACTACTTCTGAAGTCCAATGAATTAAATCACTTTCACGTAAAGAATGATTCATCATATGAATGAGTCACATACAAAATCATGATCGGCAAAAATTAGATTTAAGCCAAAGATTAATTAGAATGGAAAATAAGTTATTTATTGCAAGATTTATTTAACTACAGTTTTGAGGTTTTTTCATTTATGATACAACAAACTTTTTCACTCTGCAACCCAAAAACTACTTATCCCTCACTGTGTCAACCATTATATATACACAAACATGTGTGCATATATATTTATATATAGCTATATGTACAAAAGGACTCACCTGCTTTCTTGGAACACAAGACTGAACCCAAAAACAATCAAATCAGCTGCTTAAATTTCTCTCCTTTTTATGAGCTCTCATGGAAGTTTGCTGACCTAGAAAGAGCAGCAGGATTTGCTTGCAACTCAGCTCGTCTTCCCGGAAGTTTTCCTTCAGAAAGACTGCTTTTTTCTTTGGTTGATGATCTAAAAGCTCCGAAAGTATCCGCATTTTCGTCTTTTTTGATCCCTAATGTTTCCCAGATTGAACTTTTAGCAGCTTCCTCTGGATCATCGACCCTCAGCGTCTTGGGAACCCACAAGCATCTCTCCGGTTTGCTTTTCTCTCTACCAAGTGACTCGGTTTCTTCGAAAGTGGCTCCTGGTTCAGCAGCGTTCTCATCACGGGAATGTTTACCTAGTGTAGGAGAATTTGGACCAGACCCAGAGGGTGAATTGGGTTGTGGCATCCAGGTGAAGCTGTTCCATGTCCCTGGTGAAACCCCCGGGCAGCTCCAGTAAGCAGGTGGAGGATAAAATGGTAAAACCGTCCATGAAACTCCGTTCCAAGCGTATGGCCAAGCTGGTGGTGGTGGTCCCGGAAAGCATGGAACTTTTGGTAATGGGCTGACTGTTCCGGCCTCTTCGTTTGACGGGTTTAAAGGTACCGTAATCTTCAAACCTTCATTGGGTTCTTGCAACACAGTTTGTGTCTTCAACATTGACTTCTCAGCAAGATTCAATCCAGAAGCCATTGATTCACAGAGCACCGAATCAGAGCCAAATGTGAGAAGATTTGCACCATTAGGATGTTGAAGATCAGTTCTTGCCGCCTTCTGCATAGCTTCCGCAGATGTTATGCTTACATGACGGTTATAATGAGAAGCCGGACTCTTATTCTTGCGTCTCCCTGCACCAACCGGAACATTCCTCATCGTTCCACCCGCTGTCCAATACCTCTGACATTTCTTGCAGAAATGGCGAGGCTGGTTAACATTATAGTTGTTGTAGTAACAGAACTTGGTTTCCATGCTACTACATCGCGGGCACGGCAGAATCTTGTCGGGTTTCTTTAGCTTCGCCTCTTGAGAGCAAGCAGTACCACCCGTCTCATTCTGTGACGACTCTTCATTCGTCTTCGCAGCCTTTGTAGTCTCCGTTTTTTCAGTTATACCCGATGTAGTATTAGTAGTAACATCATTAGATTCATGCCTCAATGACTCTTCCTGACACTCATTATCTTTATCTTCCTGAAAACAACATAAAAAGTGATACTCATAAGAACCAGACTAAGATCATTGTTCTGTTTCCTAATCAAACAAACAACAAACAGAATCTAGAAGCAGCAAAGAAACATCAAACAATGTATCCATACAAAGAAACTATATTGAATCAGAATAAACCCTAAAAGTTCTTCAGTAAATTCAATATGAAGACACAAAAAGCTTCACCAGCAAATAAAAACCAAATGAAACTGATTGAGATCTCAAATCACACTTAATAAAAAAAAAAAAAAAAAAAAAACTCATTTGATAATCCAGATTTACATTTTTAGAATCCCCAAAAGTTGTGAAAACCTAGTTCAACATAAACAAACCAAAAATCACAACTTTTTCATAAATACTAAAATTTTGACAAATCTAACATCAACCCATCAATCATTTCCATTTAACAAATCATGGGTAATCTTCAAAAACAATTCACAAATCCAAAAAAAAAAACTAACCTTTTTATCACTCTCGCTCTCTCCTCCACCGCGAGAACCATCACCACCAACATCATCATCACCTCCTCCTAAACCGGAACCACCCATCTCATCATCATCATCTCGGGTACACGAATCTGATAACCGAACAAGATTCTGATCTTGAGTTTCGGTTAAAACTCCGGTATAGCTAGAACAGGAATCAACAACAACAGCAAGCTCAGGTAAAGGAATCGTCTTCCCAAAGAGCTTAATCGCCGGATCAGCCATGAATGATTCTTTTTTCACTTCTCCAGCGAGAAAAAAGCGGAAACTTTTGAGAAGACAGAGGAAAAAAGTTACAATTTTTATTGTTTAAAGAGAGAGAGAGATAAACGACTGTCTTGTTATCGGTCTGAGTTTTTTTTTTTTTTTTTTTTTTTGATAGATTTGTTTATTGGAATGGTTTTGGTCTTTGCGAAAGAAAGAAAAAAAGATTACAGATTTTGCTTTTTGCGTTTGTGATCTTTCGAATTGTACAACCTTTTGATTCGCCCAGAGTGCCACGTCCTCACACGTGAGGATTCTTAGCCACAAGTTTTTTTTTTTTTTTTGTGGACTTTTTGTTTTATAGAAAAAGGGTTCTCTTTTTCGTCTCTTTTTGGCTTTCTTTTTATTTTCCTTTTCAATCTGGTCAGTGGTCAGCACTTTTTTTACTTTTACTTTTTCTCCATTTTTTAACAAGTCTGGGAATTTTTTTTTAATTCGGTTTACTATGAGTCTATAAACAAACGTTAAAAGCCTTTGGTTCAGTGGTTGATTAATAATCATTAAAATATATAATCATAATAAGCTTGTAAAAAATTAGAAAGATTAGATATAGTATTTTTTCCGTTTCATAATATTAGAATTTTTGGAGAAATTTTTTTTGTTTCACAATATAAGATGTTTTTAAGTTTTTAAGTAAATTATAGATTAATTTAAAAATTTTATGATTATTTATATTTTGTAGTTTCTTTCATGATTGGTTGAACTTTTAAAAGTGAATATTTCTTAATTTGCGTGATTTTAGCTAAAATAACTTTTTTTTGAAATGGAGGAAGTATAAGTTATTAACACAATGATTATATTTTTGTATCTAATAATGTATATTGGTTGAGTTACCATAAATACGAGTATATAGATCGAAAAAACTTAGGAAAAAAAAAATTCTATATATATCGACAAAATTAATACGAGACTTTAAGAGATAAAAAAATGTAAAAATAAGATAAAATAAAGAGATTAGAAAGGAACAAAGTATGCACTAATATGAGAGAAAGTAGCCACAACCATCAAACATCAAAAACGGTTCAAACCCGAAAACTGAAATTGATCTGACAATGAAGAAAATCCATCAACCCAAAACTCGAGATTAGAGAGATATATTCAAATCTTTTTTTATTCGAAATATTTTAAATATTATCTTTAATAAGTTTATGGCGTTCGACCTTTTTTTTTCATTTATATTCCAAATTATAAATTAAGTAGTAGAACGCATAGCAAAACAAGTATGGTCTCTTACCATTTTTGAAGCAATTGTCTCTTCGTATTTACCAGATTAGATCCAGTCTTTTGTAATGGCTGATAATTGCATAAATGATTATATCTTATGCATTTCTATTAGACAAAAATGATATTTCTCTAGATTTTAACAGATCTCATATCAATTATCTAATTTTAAACAAAATCATCTAAAAATCTATTAAAACTCAAGTCATTCAAATTTTGTTTAATTTATAATTGCTGAATTTTATCTCCATCGATTAAACTTTCAGAATATCTCATAAAATTTTAAAACTTAGTTAAATAATTTTTTTGTAATATTCATAAATATAATAAACGTCTAATATTATATATATATATATATATTAAAAATTATCATCAGTTATCGACATGTTTTCTAGTTATATTAATATTTCAAGAAAAAGCATTTATGAAAGAAAAAAAAATTACATGATATAAAACATATTAATAGTATTTAGTTACATTAGTTTGGTACTTCTAAAAATAATATGATAACAATCGAAATCCAAACATCGAGTTTTCTTTTTCAACAACTCTAAACATTAGTTTTTTTATATTTTTGAAGCGACAAGTAGTGAATCTTCAGTTTTTTTGCTCTCTTTTTTCCTTTTTCATGACATAAATCTTCAACATATCAGAGATACGTGGCTGTAATAAGTCCATGTTAGAAGTTGTGGTTACTAATGAATGCCAAGTCGATTTGGAAAAAGTGCAATAATATGTGGATAAGTATTTGAACGCCAAGTCTAACATAGAAAAAGTGCAATTATGTGGATAAGTATATATGGTACCTTTATTTCAGACCACCCCAAATCCCAAATATATAATAAAGTTTTTGCATTACATTTATTATATTATCCCACTTGGAGGCACGACTGATAAAGATTCTTAAGAAACATATTTTATCATTTTCCGACTATTGTTCCCCGAAGTAAAGAAACATTATTCAGTTTTGTTTTTTAGATTAGCATCTTTCGTATAAAAAAAGTATCCTTGATATATCACATGACATAAACATTTTCGAACTAGAACTTGAATGAACTATATTGTAAAAGTTGGCTAAGTTTATAAAGAGACTCTTGGTGAAAAAGATAATTTATTGCTAAACTAAAACATGGTGTTCGACGAATAATACGAGATTGACTATAACAAATTTTCATATGGTTACTAGGAGGAAAACATTGTATATTTCATCACTGCTAAGTAGGTAGATTTTTTATCCTCATATTTGTAGAAATTTGTGGATCAAGTTATGCTTTAATTTATCTGCTAATTTGTTCAAAATTGAGAAAAAAAAATTCATTTCTCGGCTATTTTTTTTTTCTTTCATATGTATGAATTTTTTGACATAATATCAAAGCAAAACCATATACTGATATACATACTAGTATTTTGGTTTGTTTGATCCCTCACATACTTTGATCTCTCTTCTTTTTTATGTTTCTTTCTTTCTTCTGATCTTATATTGTGTCAATTTTCTTCTTGTTGGTCGTTGATAACGTTTGTTCTTTTACTTTGTAGAATGATGGGATATAAACAAGTGATTTTTTTTTTTTTTTTTTTGTATATTGATATCTTTAAAAAAGTGCCGCATGAACAAATTAAGATTTTTTTTTTTAATCATTTTATCAAAAACTCAAGACAATGAACACTACGTGAAACTATATACAACATGACATGGCCCACAACAAAAAGACAAAGCCCACGAAGACGTCAGTTCATCACGGACTCGATGGTAATTACCTCATTACCTGCATAGTCTAAGATCCTAAAACAAACATTATTTTATTGTTCGATCAAAAATAACCAGAGATATAGCAGTTAACATTCTTTTGTATTAATCTTGTTCACTATGGTCTCACATGGAAATCAAGATCGGACCTTAAGTCCTGACCAAATAAAACTCTCAACTCAACAAGGTTTTGGGCCTTGAATCAAAACATTTCTAGATATAACTGTTACGGTTGAAACTCGAACCAGTTAGGTCTTGCGGTAGTATGGACCTGACCTAACCCTTATATCGACTGAGTGTTGCACAAGTTTAAATAAATTTGTTTGGCTAGGAAGTTTCGTTTGTTTAAATTAACAGTTGGTGTGACATTAGTGTTGAGGAAGATTATACTATATCCTAATATACTCCTATCAAACAAGTCTAGATAGTTTCAACACAACATTTTATTTAACAATACAATAACTGAAAATAGTAGAACAATGGAGTTTAATTCAGATAATCTAAATTACAAGGAAAATACGAAATAGCTAGATACTAAAATAAACCAACAACATAAAAATGAAATTAATCAACCAGTCATGCAACCAACACCATATCGAGTGGTCGGAAAAACAAGAAACAAAGCACTACAAACAATTCCAACCATTATTGGAAAACTCTCCATAACTTGATCCATCTCTTTCTCTTTCCCTGGAAACAAACATCCAGTGACTCTTCGATCCGAAAACGCAATCGCCATAAACACCAAAACGCTCATCACTGCATGAACAAAGTCATTAACCTTCAACTTATACCTCTCATCAGTCACCGGAATCTCCGCTTCCGCAATCACATCTCCGCCTCCAAACTCTGGAGGCGGCGGTTTCATGAACACCGCGAGTCCACGTGGCGTCACGAAACCGTAGTAGATTTTCCCATCTGAGGCTTTGAAACTGTCGGTGAAATGGAAGAAGAAACAAGACATTGCGCAAAGAAGCAAGAGGAGATGAATCATGAGTGTGTTGATTCCGTTACAGTCTCCGTCACGGTAGATTGATGGAAGAACCATTTCGAACATCAAGAGAGTTCCTGTCGGAAGGAAGTTGACGAGCATTGATGTCTTCGAAACCGTTTTTTGAACTCCTTGCGCTACCATGCGACGTTTTCGACCTCTTCCTCCTCCGGCGGCGGCTCCTGCCGGAAGTGTAGGCAGTGAAGAGATTGAGACGGGTTTTGGTGAGCGAGACGGTGGTGATGGTGATGGTTTTTGCGGCGTAGTCGCCGTGTAAACTCTGATTCCGACGCTTTCCTCTGTTTTCTCCATTTTTGTGTGTTTCTCTCTTATTTTTTTTTTGTGATTAAACAGTTTTTTCGTCTGTCTTGTGATATGGTTTGATGAAGAATGAGAGTTTTGTATTTATTTTAAAAATCTCGGCGGTTATTGACGGTTATAGAGTATCCATCGGACGACGGTTTATGTGGGAAATGTTTTCGAATTTTTGCATTCTAGCTCTCTGATAACAAACCACGTGGAACCAATAAAATTGGTGTAATGGGCTTCAAGTCCATGATTTGGCCCAACCAAGCCTGGGTTATTAAAGAAATTTTTTCCAAAAGTATTATTCAATAAAATGAAACATTACTTAAGAGATGATTCTGTTTGTCTGTTGTCTCTAATATGTAGGCTTGATTAAGAAACTATAAACCATATTTATATTCGAATGTTCTTGTGGAAAGCTATTTAGAGATGGACAAACCTCCAGTACCACAGCTTCGTTAACCCTGTTAGTGCGTAGGATGTAATTATATTAAGTTTATTAGACTATATATATAGCTGTAACCAAAAGATAGAACCTTCAAGGAGGCTTTAAACCTAAGTGTCCCTTATATATTAGAGAATTTCACTTCACAATTTTGAATGGACTTTTCTCCGAATGGCCACCATACTATCTGTCCCGAGTTCGGAATGTTTTTCGACTAATGTTAGGGGTAGCTAAATCGCTTGTTACTGGACTACCAAGTAAAATGTTTGCGCCTTTGGCCCAAACCCAGACTTTCCACACATGTGTGTTTTTTGTTTTCATGGTGGATCAAACTTGGGTGAGATCCTTTGATGCATCCAGTACATCTTCAAATGCATGTGATGTATCAAATTCCTGGCAATCTTCTGGTGTGTCTTTTTATTAATTTCACCCAACATCAATGACACTTTCTTCAACTC